TCTGTTGACTTTTAAACTAGTATGCTTTTATAAAGCTGGTTAAATAATCATATTTTGTATACTCTGCTTTTTAGCAGTTGGTTAATATTTCTCCCACAAGCTGAATATGCATATGTTATGCATGCACTCTGGTAGCTCCACTGTAGTCAGTGGGACCTATTTCTATACAGTTTCTATACATTGTGTAGAACTGGACCTTTAATTGAACTCCTGTAGTTGGTTTACAGACAGAAAACTCCTAGTTCTATAGTTAAAAACATTGTGTCATTATTCAGTCTTTGATTTCTTAAAACAAGTAAATTACAGAATGAAGAAAAGAAAGACATAGCAGCAGTGGAGAAACTAGAAAGACTACAGGTAGAAGGCAATGTTTGGCCCCTGTAAAATTCTGCAAAGAAAGCAGCTGATTTGAGTGTGTAAGCATCTTAGAACCTTTTCTATGTTGGAGAAGTTGCACAATAGCCACGTAACTATCAAAGATCTATCCAGTTTTAATTTTCAGCGGCCTGAAGAGATCGCTATGAGATAGACGGCCATATAAACTGTCTAAACAAACAAACAAATCTTGGAGGTGAGCTCCTAGAGATACTTCTTGCTTTTTGGAGAACTGCATTGGTGTCCTGCTCTTACATTTCTTTTAGGATGTTTAGTTTGCTCCAACACAGCCGTTATACTGGAGTTGCAATCTGGTACACTCCTTTGCGACTGGCTATGGCTGTAGAAGTTGAAATCCAAAACACTAAGTATCCTTAGCCTACCACCGCCTGGCCCCCAATGATAAATCCTTTCTCTCTCTCTCTCGTAAATAAAGATATAGTTAAAAATAATGTTACTGTAAGTCAATGTTTAGTATTTTTACTAATGCATAGAAAGTCTGCATGTAGGAACTGGAGAAAATGTAATAACATTACAGGGATTTGGCACCCTGATCAAAGATATTTGAAATGAAATATGGAGCAAACTTGTTACTATATAGGTAACAACAGTTTTCAAAGCAATATGAAAATGAAAATAACCGTTACCTTGCACTGTATTAATGGTATTGGTTAGGACTTCTGTTTCTTCGTCAGAATCCATTCTAATCACAATTACTACCTGATACAGCATTAAAAAAAAGTTTTAATTAAACATTTAACAATCTCCATTTGATATTTAAGAGCTATAACAGTAACTTGAATCATTGGCAGAGCATTTCCATGACTTCAGGATTGAAGCAAGAATAAATAATTTTAAAAAAGAGAATATGTTAATGTGGAAAAATGCAATGCAATGCAGTGTAGTTTATTTTTACTGAATTGAAGATTATTCTGCTTATATATAGGTTTCCCCTATTCTCTTGTTCCAATGAATTTTTTTTTCTGTGCAAAGCTGGTGTTCCTGCTTCAGGTTACTGGCAGTATAATTAGTAAGCAATGTTTTCTGTCATCTGAAAGCATGTGTGCTGTCACAATAATCTTTTGCATTTCCAGGGAATTTCTAGTCAAGAATAGGAAAGATCAGCTAAGTTGATCCACCTCATTTCAATTGGCAAGCTGGAGCATTCCTGACCACGGATCTGTCCTTTTCCTCCTAGCTCACGTTAGGCCCCTAATTCAGTCCTCCAATAAAAACCTGACACTGATTTAGGCAGAATTTATTTATGCTTATAGGCTACTCAGATTAGCCAACTCTGAGCAGCATATAGCCCCCCAGTAGGTAATTTGAATTAAAACAGAATCTAATCATATTAATAAAAACACCATAGAGTATAACCACGTAAAACTGGGAGTCATATTCAAAACAACAAAAACTAATCTAACATCTGAAAGGATAGTCCTAATGACACAGATTCCCTGACTTGGTGAAACAGCCAGGTTTATATCAATTTTATCAATACCAGGAAAGGGGGAGGGGGAGCACATATCAAGGGGGCTACTATTCAATTGAATTGAATTAAAAGGTATGCTTCTGTGGCCTCTGAAGAAGGCAATCTGAAATCAAGATGTGTGGAAGGATGGGCTCACCACCTGGAATAAGTGTGAGTTTCTCCTCCCTCTAGAGCAGTGTTTTTCAACCTCAGCAACTTTAATCTGGGTGGGGAATTCTGGGAGTTGAAGTCCACACAGCTTCAACTGAGGCTGAGGTTGAGAAACACTGCTCTAGAGATCCAGATTTTCGGTGTTACCTGGGGGCAAGGTTTAAAACAGCTTCCGTAATTGGAGAGTGAAGCAAGCTGCAGTGGAGTGGCAAGGAAGAGGCTGAGTGAGAAAGACTGCATGGAAATGGAAGAATCTTCCAAATCAAAGAGGAAAACAAGAAAACAGCAGCAGTCCCAGAACAGTCAAAAGAGAATTGCTAACCTTGGAGCAGTTGCTCAACATGCAAGACAAGCTGAGGCAGAACCAAAAGATGGAGTGGAGGAGGAAGAGCCTGAGCAGCATCTGCAAAGAAGCAGCCAGAGCAAGCCAACTGCATGCAACAACCCAGGTGCAGAGTAGCAGAAGCTAAGTCCAGGAACAGAGGACTATGAGTGCTGGGAGAAGAGAAAGGAAAAGTTCTTATACCACACCTTCTAAAAGAATGAATGAAAATTGTTTCCAAGTGAAAATGGACTGGGTTTGGCTACAAAAGCTGAAGACCTGGAAAATTAAAATCCATAGAGGTAAGAAATGGTTAAGCTAGGAAAATATACAGCTAGGAAGTTGTAGACATAGGAAGATATAGAACCAGGATACAGAGCTACAGATAACAGACATTTATTGATTGAACAAGATGGTAGTAATTCTAAGAAATAGAGTCAAACTTATAATGATGAGAAACTTCTACGCGGTAAAAATAGATACAAACCTAGAGTTAACATTAAAAGTAAAAAGGATAATTACAAACACTGTATTATTGTATAATAAAACAGCCCTAATGGGGGAAAATAAATCTAAGTCTTGTGTCTCTAATCAGTACTAGCTCAAGAAAACCATATTAAGAGAACACAGAGAGAGCTCACCCTACCAGATCTTATTGGGTGGGCAGACATTACTGGCAGAAGGTGGCCCCGTAGATAACCAGGTCCTGAACTACGAAGGGTTTCAGGTGACAACAAGCATCTTGAATTGCACCTAGAAGCCAGCTAGGAACCAATGCAGTTCTTGAAACAGAAGGGTTACCTGGATTCCTTGAGGTGCACCCATATCTACTTGAACCACTGCATTCTGGACCAGCTATAATTTCCAAATGCTCTTCAAAGGCAGTCCCATATATAGCACATTGCAGTAGTCCATTTGAGAGGTGACTAAGGCATAATTGACAGTGACTATCGCTCCCATTCCAGGAAAAGTTGCAGTTGGTGCAAAAGCCCTCTTCACCATCACCTGCCACCTTCTCCAGCAAGAGCTGTGAGGGCAAGAAGACCCTCAGATTGCAAACCAGTTCTATCAGGAGGAGTGCAACCCCATCAGAATTAATGATGGAATCTAACGGGAATTGGTAGGCCTTCAGACCCAAAGCCACTCTGTGACTGAATCTCAACCTGACAATCCAGACAATCTTCAGACACTGGACAGCACTTTGGCAGCATTGTTTATTCAGCCAGGGATCAAGATGTACAGTTGGGTCTCAACAGCATACTGAAGAAACTTGACCCTCTCCTGATGGATGATTTCACCTAGCAGTTTCATACAGGAGTAGGCAGAATATTAAGCCCACTGGGAATCCCACAACTGAGGGGCCAAGAGCTCAGTTTCTCCCCATATATCATCATCAGCTGGAGCTGTCCCTTCAGAAAGAAGGGGAACTACTGCAAAACAGTGCCCTCCACTCCTAACCCTCAGAGATGGCTCAGAATAATACCATGATAGATGGTAGTGAAAGGCACTCAGAGGTTGAGCAAGGTTGCAGTACCCCTATCCTGGTCCTGCGAGAGGTCATCTATAAGTGAAACTAACGCTAACTCTGTGCTGAACCCAAGCTTGAAACCTGATTGAAATGGGTCCAGACAATCTCTTTCTCCCAGGCCTCACCGCAGCTGTAGCTTGACTACTTTCTCCACAATATTCCCCAAATACCAACTTCTCTGTGTTATTTACCTTATTCTGATCATTTGTTTTATTCTGTACCCACTTAGAAATTTGATGCTGTAATTCTGTTACTTTGGGACTGACTTTGTGCTCCTGCACAACAAACTTCACAATTTTCAGCTGTTTCCAAATAATATCCAGGCCATAGTCTTGGAAATCCTTATAATTGTCTTTTGCCTTGGACAGATACTCTGTTTCAGATAAAAGTAATTGCATCTATCACACATTCTGCATATTTCACATAAGTCATTTTCAAATCCTATCTTTCTTCTTCCTTTCCTCCCTTTATGATTCTTAATGCATTTGTAAGTAGATTTCAAAGCTGAACACTAAAGCAAGAATTATGCCCGATGTCTGCTCATTCAAGTCAAAAACATTACCTCCTAAAATGTTCATGATGATTTTCTCCATTGCTACTATTTTTATCTTAAAAAGTAAAGAGATTTCACTATATGTAGCCTGACAATAAAAACTGTAGAAAATATAAATGGATTTTCCATCTTCCAATCTATGACAGATTTCGTATGCTATATTTCACTAAACCAATATAGGAATATATCTCTTTATAAAAATTACCTAATGCAGTGGTCAAGTTACAGGTTAACAAAAGATCACGAACTGTAACCAGCAAATGAAGAATTGCAGCATGTTTAAATACCAAAATATATTTTCCATCTTTCCTACCTATAAAAAAGGGAAAATAATAATTTAGAGATTATTTTTCTAAAACTACAAGAGCTATTTAGTACACAGGATAACATTTCTTATCTTTCTGTGGGTGGGTATTAAGGCCTAGGCACAAAAATCCTGTTATTAAATTGGAGCACTTTGACATTTTGTGGAGCACTTTGACATTAAATTGGAGCACTCTGACATCATTAAATTGGACAATTTGACATCCAGAACACTTTGATATCTCAGTATACCTCAGATGTCCTCTCACATACCTTAAAGATGCAATCTAAGGGCCTTTTTTCACTGCAGAGTTGAAGTGCTACCCACCCCTCCTTGCTTTAGTAGAAAACTATACTGGCTTGAAACTTCCTGTCTCCATTGCTTATCTTTATCCCACCTTTACTGTTCTTGTTTTGAGTAACTATAGTCAGGTAACTTCCTTTCAGGATAGTGGCTGGCAAAGCCTAACAGATTTTACCCATATTGGGGGGATGGGGGGGATTGCTATATGGTGTTGGAATAAGTGGTGGAATATGATTTTAATACTGGTTCAGCTACAGATGACTTAAGGTTGGTGACAAGATGAAGGAACGTTGTGGGGACATCAGAAAAAAAATGTTGCCAGGACACGTTTGTGCCATGGCTAGCTACAAGTGGGAAAAGGCTTAAGATTGCTTTTATATTAGTATCCGTTAGCATTTCCAAAGCATTGCTTTTCTGTAATTATTTGGAAGCAGAATTAAAATGATGGTTCCACCTAATACTTTTTATAGTACTATATTTTCCATTCTAGTTCTGCAAATTATCTTAGTTAATAATTTTTGTTTCTTTTATAGCAATTTTTACTTCTTGGTTTCTGACCAAGACATTTCTTGGTCAGAAACTTGGTTTCTTTAATTAATTTCCTTTTGTTCTTTTGATTGTTGCAGAAAATAAAAGAGCTAAGGCTGCCACCTATATGGAACTGTCCTAGGTGAATAAATGATATCTATTCCAGAGCATGGAGCTATTGTAGAACCATGTTTATTACTGATTCTGGCCAGTGGTCGCTTTATCATCATACCTAATCCTATGCAAGTACAATCATATGGATGTATAAAGATACTTTAGGTATGATCTTTATCTGTGTCATGGATTCATCAAACCCTGTACCATATTTATGACTGGCAGCACATCTTTTTTTCATTAATTGTAACATAGTATACTTTTAGTTGATGGTGCTAAGTACAAGTAAGGGCTAAGAACAAGTGAGGGGGTAGTTCTGTTAGGCAATGGTCTATTTCTTCCTCAAGAAGCCATTCTTGGATCTGATGGCAATGGACAATTTCCAACCTATCTCTAATCTTCTCTTTTTGAGGAAGGTCATTAAGAAGATGGCCAACCAGCAGCTTTAGCTGTCTCTGCAGGAAATGGATTATCTGGACCTCTTTCAGGTTGGTTTCAGGCCTGAGCGTAATATTGAGACAGCATTAATCAGGCTTGTGGGTGATGTGTTGTAGAGCCAGGATGGCATAGTGCATCCAACCTGACTCTCCTTATCTCTCGTTAGCTTCAGTACCATCTATCATGGTATCCTTCTGGATAAGCTCAGAGGTTGAGAGTGGGAGACACAGTGTTGTGGTGGTTCTCCTCCTTCCTCCAGGGCTGGTTCCAGTTGGTGTTGATGAGGGAAAAGGTCCAGCCCTCCTATCTTGCTTTGTGGGAACCTTAGGGCTCAAGTTTCTTCCATTCCTCTTTAACATCTACAAAAAGCCACTGGGTGAGGTAATCTATTAGCAAGCAGTTAGGTATCATCAGTACACTGATGTATCTCAGCCTGTTTGCCCAAGTGATGCTATCAAAGTTCTGACTTAATGTCTGAGGTCTGTGGGGGTCTATATGGGGAAGAACAAACTCAGGCTCAGCCCTAGTAAGTGGCTGTGGATTTTGAAGCCTTCTGGATTCAGAAAATTGCCATCACTCCCAAACAGACCAAGTGGACAATGTGGGGGTCCTCCTAGACACATAATTTCTGTTTGAAAAGCAACTGGCAGCTGTGGCTCAGAGGGTCTTGGTACAGATCTACCTTGTGCTTGTGCGGATCCATCTTGTGAAGCAGCTGCATAGGTAGTTACTGGCACATTTCAGCATGCCTCTGTAACACAACTACTTCATGAGCCGCACTGGTTGCCAGTAGGCTTCCAAGTACAATTCAAGGTGCTGATTATAATATTTAAAACCATTCTTGGCACAGGGCCTGCTCATTTGTGGGCTACCTGCAATCTTTGCCTGCCCGATAAGTTCTGACTTGGTTGGCCTGCTCCTACTCCCATCTCTTAAGCAGTGTCATTTTATGGGATGCAGCAGAGATGCCTTCTCTGTTGCTGCACCTGCTCTATAGAATATAGAGTGTCAGTGTGCACGGGGTGATATAGGTTCTATCTGTCCCTGGGGGTGGTTAGCCCCCTGATGATGATGCTCCCTGGGAATTACTCACCAATTGTCCATCTTCTTGGAACCTATTTATTTTTAGGATTGTTTTTATGGTGTATTTTATCTTGTTGTAAACCACCCAGCGTCATTTCACGAGATGGGCGGTGACAAATTTGATAAATAAATAAATTAAATAAATTAAATAAATAAATATCATTCTCCCCCTTCCCCATTCCTGAAATCCAGATGACCCTGACTCTGCCTGCCTTTTATGACCTGTAATTTCCCCCAGTCATTGGGTAAGGATAATTTGTGTTCCTTTCCGTCGTGATTGTTTTGATTGTTGAATTGATTTAGCAGAATTTATTGTATGTTTTATATTGTCCGTGTGTGTGTGTGTGTGTAATTACATGTCACCCCTTGAGAGGGTGGCTATATAAAATAAATAAATATATTCAAAGCATGGCTTATTGTGAAGAAGGTTCGTGATTCAATCCCCAATATCTTAAGCTAAAAGATCTTTAGGCAAGAAGGCACTAGGAAAAAAATTAAACATAAATGTCCATAGTTACACCTGTCTACTATAAAGAATATGAACTATACAGTTTTAGAAAAAAATGTCTCCTTAGCAGTCCCACCTTGTTTCAATGTGTCACTGATCATTTTCTCTTGTTGTTTTAAAAAAAATCTGGTGTTATCAGAATTAAGTGTGGCAAACCTCCAATTCTGCATGCCAAGGTTTATAAGCTCTATCAAAACTGGAGCCACTGCAGCTTCAAGGATATGATATGCCTGAGACTGACACTCTGGTTAAAACAAAGCAAAGATTTAACAAAATACTTTAAAGTCCTGTAAAACAAAATTGAAATAAAAACTATATTTTTTATGACTGATGATTTAGCAACTGAAGTTTTCTGATCAATCATATGTTTTCATAAACACTAAATGGCATTGTGATTATGTTTTGAAAAATTCATGTTTTATACAGAACAAATCTACAACAGAATATTCACTTCTGCTTCATCTTCCTTTCTGACTTATTTGTCAACCATAGATATTTTAGTCCTGTGTATTAGGCTAGGAGTGATCCAAATTTGAATGGAAAAAGGTGATTTGGCATGCTTGTGGACATTCACACACCACCTGTCAGCAACTCTTTCCAGAAGCTTGTGCTGATGCTCTCCATAACTGTGATGCAATTCCAGGAAAACATATGCTTAAAGAGGAGCCAAGAGATATTACAGAACTATCTTTTCAAATTCAGATTATTGCATAGACTTGGTCTCTGTCTCTGTCGGAGATCTAGTATGGCCATGTATCCTATTTTACAGGTAATTTCCCTCTATTTTAATGGCACTTAGAGGGAAATTCTGTATTTGAAAGCCTGTCAACTCTTAACCTGGTTTAAAGATGAGGAACCATAAGAGTTAGTGGCCCATCAACAGTTAATACCTGGACAGCAGACAGAGGTGAATGCGTCATTTTTAAAATATAGTACTTGTAAAATGTGCTTCTCTACATAAAAAGCAGCATTTGCCAATCTTGATAAAATTTGTACCATTTCTTGGCCTTTTTTGGTGAGACATTTCATTTTTCTCAGGATATATCAGTGGTCTCCTGTGGAGTTTATGCTGTTTGCCATTTCTTCTTCTTTGGTATGATCAATTTATCCCTGATAAATGTGTATTAATTGGACCATCATTTTTGTACAAAAGTCTACATGCATATGTTGATTCTTTAACTGGGGGAGTTTTGAGATCATTACAGAAGAATTTGAAATTCAGAGTTCTTGTTATAAAGGAAACTTTAAAATTGTGCTTTAAAATATTCAGTACCTGATGTTTTAATTTTGATGAAAGCTAGTGTATGATTGTCTTTGGCTTGGTTTTCCATAGGAACTGCTGTCCCAGGAACAACGGGACTCTTGTGGCTTTCAAATGGAGGTCTTTCTTCCTTAGCATCAAAACCTTAGGAATTAAAAAAACATATTCATAAAATAAGTTAAAGCAGTCTAATTTTTTTATGAATGGTGCACTTTTTTTGGACTAAGACCCACCCTTGAATGGCATGTTGATGGCCACATTCAAAAAACAAATGGATTCAGGAATGAGATCAGGACAATACTACATTTGTTGAGGTTTAGTTAATTAAACACTGTTAATATTTCTCATGTTTATTTCCATATAATACTATTCATATTTAGTAATATTTTCGTTTTCTAACCTTAAAAATCACAGACCAATGGCAACTTTTGGGAAGAACAAGTAGAAGTGTACCCAAGACTTGGGGAACTGAATGTAGCCTGGACCCAGACTGATCTCTTCTCATCCAAATGGTAAACTGAAAAGCTATAACATCTGTATGGCACACATCAGTGGCTGTAGTAGAAGCCCATCATGACTACAGTTCGCCATACCCTATTGTTGTTGCTATTGTGTTTCTTGCTTTGTATTAAAAAAATGTCATGGGGAAATTTCCAACATACAGAGAAACTCTAAAACATTTATGGAATGTCAATATACAATTGCAGTTTTAGTCTCAGATCACTAGATGGTAACATAAGACTAAGTAAAGATGTAGTGCTATGCTATAGGACTCATCATTTTGTACTATGTACAGCTGATAAAACAGACTCACAAACAATGAAAATCTAATATAGTAATTCATGCTGAATGTTAGTAGATAAGCATTAAAACCACAGTGAAACGACACACATATAACTTGATTGAAACCTAAGCTTTGAGGGTCTGATATATGTGAACATAAAGAGTTTAATATTTCAATGGCAATCCTGCTATATCTATGAAATCCATCATTTTTATCATCCGTGCTGGTTCTACATAACAAATTTAAAATCTAAAGAAGAGCAATTAAACTACCTTTTTCTTGCATATCCACATTATTTGTTTCTTCACTTTGGGTGATCACCTGTTTAGATCTCAGCATGATAAAATTACTCAATAGGTCAAAGTCATCTTTACATTTTCTCAGCTGTTTAGGTGGAACTGACTTTTTATTTCTTAATGTACTATTTGCTGAGATAAACACTTTCTTGCAATTAACTAGTTGATCATTTTTTTCCTCTCCATGGTTTCCAATATTCATTGATTTTTCAATTTCATTTTGTAATTTGTAATCCTTGACATGATTTTCAGTAGGTACATTGTTGTCTACTATAGAAGTACTATACTGTAGTGATGTAGGTCTCAGTGGTAGTGAAGAAAAGGTCTCCTTTTTTGTAGAATAAGAATCCTTTGTCCCAGTACAATCAGAGATTCTAAAGATCTTCATGCTGCTGTCACAAAAGGAACTCTTCTCATCAAGCGATTCTGAAAAGAAAACAAATATTGTCCCATTTTCTAAGTATTTATTTTTCAACTGAACACAGCTCAGTTGAAAACATATTCTGAATTATTATGGGATATCACAATCAACCCAAACAATCATCCATATCCACTGAAATTTGGATATACAGGTAGTCCTTGTTTAGTGACCACAATTGGGACTGGCAACTTGGTTGTTAAGTGAAGTGGTTGTTAATGAAACTGCATCAGTGCTTATGGTCTTACTTCAACTCTTCTTTGCTTTACAGACCTGTGAAGGTCATAAATGTGAGGACTGGTTGTAAAGTTACTTCTTCATCACTGTTGTAACTGCAAATAGTCATTAAATGAGGCAGTCACTAAACAAGAACTACCTGTAAAGCAATTGGTGTAATTAATAAAACATAATTTTATTTATTTATTTAATCACATTTGTATAGTTACCCATCTCATATGGTGACTCTGGGCAGCATACATAATAAAACAATCAAAATACATAAAAAACCATTAAAAAAACCAACTTAAATTAAAGAATAAGAACAAAATAAAAACAAGTAAAAAAGCTGGCTAAACATACAAAGAGTGTATTCCATTAATGTCATACAGCCATCTAGTAGGCTCCACTCCATCATGGGATCCCCCAGCTAGTTGACAGAACCATGTTTTAAGGGCCTTCCAGAAGGCCAACAATTTAAAATATTTCAGTAACAACACAAGCTTTCTGTAGTATGGCTTTCAAAGGTCAGAATAAACATAAATTATCCATGTTATTACAGTAGCTTTCACCAGCCTGGTGCCCACCAGATGCATTGGGCTATATTCATTTCTAGACAGCACACTATTTGTAGCCCAACAAATTTGGATGGTATTATGTTGAAGAAGCCTTGTGTACAATATCCTCTGTCGATGAATATTATAACTATAGGGGATTAGGAATTAGAAATTCATTCTGCTTTCCCAAACCATAAAAACTGTGTTATGTTGGATTGCATCCCATTAATATTACTCTGCTAACAGAATACCCTTTTTATCCAGCAAAAGCTTTTGTAAGCAAAATGAGGATGAAGGGAATTCCTCCCCATTCCCACCATACACCTCTGTATTATCTTATATGCTGTTCCAAAGAAACGCTAGAGTTTAAAGACTCCTAGAAGTGGTATAGAAATCTAATAAACAAATAAAGCCAGTTTGGTGCAACAGCTAAGGTGCTGGCCTAGAAAGCAGGAGACTGTGTGTTCTAGGCCTCTCTCAGGCATGAAAGCCGGCTGGGTGACTCTGGCCCAGTCATTCTTTCTGTCAAACAACATTTGCCTATCCCAGGTCCTTGGGAAGGACTTGATAGGTGGATAAAAATGCCAAATCCAATCTAAACATCTGGCTGACTGTGCGACCAACCACAATAATAAAAATAGCAATTCCTTCATCCCTCTGGAATGGATCTGTATTTAGTGCCTGTACAGAGGAACAATAGCTGAACATTGGCTTCTTCCTTGATCTACCAATCAAAGCCTCCACTGGATCAAAGAGCAAACAGACAGAATAAAACCAGGGCTGCAACCTATATGTTACCTTAAAACCTTTGATTATGTTGTGATTTATAAGTTGAATAGATGATTTAGTGTGTGTGTGTGTGTATGCAAAAATAAAATGAAAAAAAAGTAACAATCCCTCTAGCACCTTAATCATTTGTGTTCCAGAAAATGGTATTGTTTGTGATCAGGGAAAAATCGATAAAGACTTATTTAAAAGACTGGAAGCTTTATATGAACTTTTTGCTGAAAGAAGAAAAGACTGAACTGATGATTTATAGATTTGGGGATTAAAAAGGGTTAAAGAGGAAGATGAAAAATTAAAATGGCAATTACTCGAGGGAAAGAAAGGTGGAAGTCATAATTCTGTGTTTTCTTTCTTTTTTCACTTCTTTTTTCTTATTTTTTATTTAATTTTTATACTTTTATTGTATTGAAAAATTCTAATAAAAATATTATTAAGAAAGAAAATGATACTGCCTGCATATGCAAAAGTACACTATACTGTAGATGAGAATAGAAAAACATGTCCAAGCACACTTGGTAAATATGTTTGACAGTTTGACAGTATGTAGCATGTTTAGGTATCTACCCAGTTCAATCTCAAGTTCTCACAAGAAACAAAAGAATTAGAATGAAAAGGATAAGGCTTATTCAAATAAAAGAAGGGACTGGTAGTTAAAAAAAATATGCATGATCCCGACACCGATTTCTGTCATAAGTACTGTCAGCCATAGCTCCCAGGATGGTGGAGCACAAACCAAAATCTGCCAAGCAGCATGTTTCTAGTGACAACATATTTATTCTGTCATTAGTGATGTACTTGCATGCCACACTGCCTTTCCCTTGTGCCACAGCACTAGTAGAATGCTGGGAGCTAGCAGACTCATCCCATGTCTTCTATTACCTTCCAGAGAAATTCAGGTGGAAATTAAATATCTTGTTTTCATTTTAAAAAACTGAAACATAATTTAAAATACTTACTGTCTAACTGGAAGCTAGTAATTTTTGAAAAATCTTCAATATTCATATTATCAAGTCTTTCTTCATCATTTATATTTATGCTCAATGCTTCTAAGACACATGACACAGTCAAGTTTTCTCTCAAATTAATCCACTCATCTTTTTCTAAGAGACTGGTAACCATGGTATTTTCATGTATAGACAACTTTGTCTTCAATTCTTTGACTGAAAACTGTTGACATACAGCAGTAAAATTCTGAGGTACTGGAAAAGAATAATGCAGTACAGTTTATTTCCAACCCTACATTCCAGTAAGTTATTGTACAACCCTGTCTGTGCATATCTAGTAGTCAGATATATCATGCTGGTTACCCTTGTGGGACTGAAAAGTTCCTGAATACAAACCCTTCCTTTTGAGCAATCACAAACATGCTACTCAAAAGTAATTTCCAGTGAGATCAACAGGTGTATTTACAGATGCAAGCATAAGTCCACAATCTTAAGGAAACAAGTCTTACTTAAATATCAGTTAGGCAATTGAACATGCTTTGAAAATTATTTGGAAGAGGTCCTTTAGAATGTGCAGGAGCACAAGCACAACATTGCTTTAAACAGCCACATCTGTTTTTGGGCTTCCTTGCTATCTTGAAAACAGATATGGCTGCTTTAAGGAATTGACCCATTAAAGTAGTCATCTTTAGTGATTCCTTAAATGACCCCTGTCTGTTCCAAAATCAGGAAGAAGCCTGAAAGAAGATGTGGATGCTTTAAAGATATGCTGACCTCATACTCCTGCATATTCTGAAGTACCTCTTCCAAATAATTTTCAATGTATGTGCAACTCTACTGAATACACTGAATATATAAACAACTTTCTCATTAAAAATACATTTGAATAGAAAGAAAAAGACATCTTTAACAGACAAGAAACAGATTTTCAGTTTGTTATACTTACCTAAACTATTATCTAATATGCTTCATTAGGAAAACAGAAATTTGTGTCATACTCATATTGGTCATTCTAGCTCAGTATTGTCAACACTGACAATATTAGCAGTTTCTTTCCAAAGTTTCAGGCAGGGTTTTTTTCAGACCTACCTGAAAGATGTCAAGGACTGAACCAGATAACATTCTCCATGCGAGCAAATGCTTATGGCTATTCATGGATTTGTTCTATCAATTCAAGATATGGAGTAAGATACAGTGGTACTTAACAGTTCGTGAACCCATTTGAATTTTCAATATTTCTGCATAAATATTACCTAAAACTTGATCAGTTCTCCACACAAGTGCTAAGACTAGATAAAAAGAACCCAGTTAAACAAGTGAGTCAAAAACATTGACATTTGTTTATTGAGGAAAATAATCCAAAGCTACATATTTGTGTGTGGGAAAAGTATGTGAACCTTTGCTAAATCTAAATTCAGAATTTGTACTTATCTACCTGTTAGGAAAAATGAAGTCATAGCATGCTGGTGTTTCTCTGACTGCCACATCAGGCCTTCCAAATAGTCTGAAGTAGATTCTGGAATGAAGTCACTGAGGGAAAAGAGAACACAGGAAAAAAATATTAGGTTCTGTATCCTGTTTTCAGATAGATAGATAGATAGATAGATAGATAGATAGATAGATAGATAGATAGATA